ACTAAAAAAGTACCAGTGGTTGTGAGGGAGACTTCTTTTTCTGACTGATCCCTTTGTCGAATTTAGGACAGCCAACAGAAAGAAACGGCAGTCCCAGAACAGAGAACTGCCTGAAAAAAAAAAGAAAACTGAAACTGCATCAATGTAAAGGTGAGTCATAAGTTGACGGAATATTACGAGGAACATACATCGTTTCTAGTGCGGTGATTCATCTTGGGAACAAAAACTGGGTGCACTTGCTGGAAACAGGATCTACAGATTAGAAAGATTTGACCCAAAAATGGAAAAAAAAAAAACGGAACTGGAACCAGCTAATGAAAAACCGAACCAAGCATTCCGAGGAAAGTAGCGCAGTTTGGGGAATCACTAATGCTCCTTAGTGCCAAGCTCAGCAAGACAATCAGTGTGGGTATTCCATGTTAGTGATGTCAAATAATACAGTCGAGGAGAAAAGAGATCAGTCCAACTGTCATGTGGGAGAAAACGTATTAAAATACAAATTAAGATGTTCGCACAGGGCGCGCACAGCTGTAACCGCTCCCTACGATCTAAGTTGCATTTAAAGATAAGGTAGAAAATGAGGAGAAGAAAAAAGAAGAGAAGGAGAACGAAGTGAAATCATTGGCGACGCGCACTGGCGGGCCCGTGCGATCATGCGTTTTTGTAGTGTTTCGTGCTGCAATAAGATCACTCGAAATTCCGCTAGCTAGAAATCTCTTGTACATACTGGTCCTCGAATTTCGAGAAGTTAATTATCCACGCTATACTTGGACAGTGACCTTCCCCCTGAAATTCTAGATTCCCAGCTTTCTCAGTTCCCGAGTTGCCCAAATTCCAGCCAGAAAATTTCACGGGGCCGTACTCATAATGGGGGGCTGAATTTGGTAAATTTAAGTTGGAGATGAGTTGGGATCAATTCTTGAAAGTTTCAACCTCCCAGCTTCCATGGTTCCCAAGCTAGGATTTTCGCGCCAGGAACCCTCACGGGGCCGTACGCGGGAGCCACGAACCCCCGGGGGCTGAATTT